TTCTAATGACCAGGGTGTGCACATGTCAATTACCTTGAATAGCCAAAATCACGGTTCTATAGTTATGCTCGCCAATGCCTGTGGCTGTTCTATGCTTTGCAACCAAATACAAGGCGAGCATACGCTCATATTGCGCACTGACATTTAAATATTAAGTTATTTCAGCAACTCTTGGGGGTATTTAAAACCATTTCAACACCATACAGTTCCCATTATCCATCAAAACATTAAAACATCACGGATCGCTTTTGCCAATTTCAACAACAACGGTAGATTTTACAAACTTTCTTACGACGTAAATTGGAAGAAATTCTGTCTGTTGTAAGTACTGTATAGCACCACCTTATTTTATGAACCTACACGGCCTTATATAAATAATGAAGCCGAGTTCATTTTATCTAGTCGTGTTCAGTTTCCACTTTTGGCCGCGATAACACGGCCAACACGGCCCTCCAGCTAAGACCCTGGACTCCTCTGGCGTTGGCTGCCCTGAGTACAGTACTATACCATAAAATCATACAGTACTATACCTTAAATTCTTCACTTACCGTTAGTTTATTTAATATATATTTCGTAGGTCTTGTAGTTCTGCCTCAATTAAGGTGTCTGATCTGTACAGTAGAAATAATTGGTCACACTGAAAGAAACCTGGAAGAGTTCATCAACAATAATGTGCTGCAGTGAAATATATGGCTGTACTTTTTATTAGGTTTTATTATATAGATATATCATATTGTTTTTAATTAATAGGTTTTTAGTTATATTTATGTTATCTTTATGGCCAAATATAGACTTATTGGTACTATATACCAGGGCGCTTAATCATACTGGGCGGTGCAAGTATATAAGCGCCCTGCTATATACCTTGCAAATAAATTAGCTGTAGAAACACGGGTTTGCACCAGGCGCGTAGCCACGGTCCGGATTTGTATGTTAAAATTGATCAAGAGATCCTATATATTATAAACACGTCGTGCTGCATTATCCTGTATCCTATTTAAAATTTTGCACTATATAATTTACATTCATTTTAATATATTCATACAATTGTCTAATTATTTTTGGAAACTGTGTAAATAATCATTCCGTTTCGTTCGTTTTAAAAATAAAGTGCTACCACCTCTCTACAGTTTTACTTTCATCGTTGTGTGTGTTAAAACTATCAAATGTATTAATACGAAAATTTGTGGGACTAATGCCCATTAACCAAAGACAAATTGATTAAGTATGTTGGTTAAAATTTGGTTGCAACTTGGATGAAAAATTGGAAAACATTTGTCTTGCTTTGCTGGGTAGAGTTCTTACATCGTTCTTACATCGTCTGATGTCATGAGCTGCGCACAGGGTATATAGCAGCAGTGGTGGATCCAGCAAAGTTTTTTTGGGGGGGTGCTAACCAATGGCGAAACGAGCGCCGAAGGCGCGAGATTTCTAGGGTGGTCCGGGGGCATACTCCCCCGGAAAATTTTTAAAATTTGGGTCTCTGAAATGGCATTTCCAGTATTCTGAGAAAACATTCTGGAAAATTTTTAGATTCTCAAAACATTTAAAAATTCAGAATATTTGATATTGGCTATTCCGCTATTGTCAACTAGTGATACGCAACTGAATTCATATACGTTGGTTAGAATTAGGATAAACGTCATTTTTGCACCCCCCCCCCCCCA